GGGGGGGGACAAGGGACAGGGAGAGGGCCTGGGGACAAGGGACTAGGGAGAGGGGATAAGAGAGAGGGGCTTGGGAGGGGGGACAACGACAGGGAGGGGGAGCAATGGACAAGGGAGAGGGTCTGGGGGGGACAAGGGACATGGAGAGGGTCTGGGGAGGCAGCGGGGCAGGTGTGAGCTGGTTGTGTGTCACACCGGGACATGGCTGTCCCCAGGGACACGTCCCCATGGCTGGGACTTACCCAAAATCCCGGGGGAAGACGGTCTGTCCCCGCCCGGCCGAGCCCGTGGGGTTTGGGGGTGTCCCCAGCCCCCCGTTCCCCTGTCACATCCCCACCCCAAGGGGCCGCGTGGCTACAGCACCCCAAAAACCAGCAACCTGTCCCCAATCCTGGCTCCTCGGCCAAAGCCACCAGCTGTGGCCACCGTGAGCCCCCATTTTGGAGTGCCTGGGGGTGCCAGCACCCCGTTTTGTCCCCGTGACACCCCACGGTGACGTCGTGCAGGGAGAGGAGAGGCGCAGGGTGGGCGTCGGGGACATTTATTGTGGAAAGGAATTAAAAAAACCGCCACCGCCGCGTCCTCCCGCCCCCCCCGTTCCCCAGGTTGGGGGGCAGTCAGCGTCAGGGGACCGTGCCAGCCACAGGCATCAAGGCCAAGAGGGGACAAGGTCCCCGGTGGCTCCGTCTGTGACACGGTGGCCACCAAAGCGTGGCCAGACCCGCTGGAAGCTGCTGGTGCCACCAAAGCCCCTGTCCCTCATCCTCCTGGGATGCCTGAGGGTCCAAGCAAGGCACGTTGTCCCCTCTCGCTGGGGTGGTGGCACCATCTGCCACATCCCCACAGTGTCACAGCACCAGTATGTCCCCCCCCCAGCCCCTGGCAAGAGATGGGGGACCAGGAGAAGGTGGTTTATCAGCAAAGGGGAAATAAATAGTTGAGTCCTGTCCCCCCTTCTCCTGGGGGGCACGAGGACAAGATGGGGACACCGCAGGGGACAGTCCAGTGGGGGGAAGCTCCGGTGCTGGGACCCCCTCCATGGGGGAAAGAGGAGCTGGGGGGAGGTAGATGGGGGGGCTGAGGGGAGCAGGTCCGGGAGAAGTGGGGAGAAGAGGGGACCAGGCTTCGGTCTTGGGGAGGGTCCCACTGGGAGATGTCACCGCTGGGACCATCAGAAGCGTCTGGAGGAGGGAAAAGGGGAGATGTCAGCCCCCCAGGTGGCGGGGAAGGGTACAAGGGACAGCGGCAGAGCCCTGCGGGTCTGGAGGGAGCGGGGATGGCAGAGATGGACGGGAAGACAGGGCCAAGCACGGAGCCGAAATCCAGACCCCAGGGCAACACGGAGCTCCGAAAGCCACAGACCCGAGGCCACTGGCCAGCGAGCGCCCAGCCCCAAAACCAGCAGAAAATGAAGCCCCAGAGAGCCAGACCCCCATGGAGCCCCCCAAATGTTGCAGACCAGCAAGAAATGCAGAGCCCCAATCACCATTGAGCCCCCGAAAGCCACAGACCCGAGGCTGCTGGCCACCAACCAGCGACCACCCACCACCCCCAGCCCCAGAAGCAGCAGAAAATAAAGCCCCACAGAGCCAGACCCCCATGGAGCCCCCCAAACATCACAGACCAGCGAGAAACATGGAGTCCAAAGCACCACAGAGCCCCAAAAGCCACAGACCTGAGGCCACTGGCCACCGGCCAGCGACCACCCACCACCCCCAGCCCCAAAACCAGCAGAAATAGAAGCCCCAGAGAGCCAGAGCCCAGCATGGAGCCCCCCAAATGCCACAGACCAGCAAGAAATGCGGAGCCCTGAGCACCATGGAGCCCCAAAAGCCACAGACTCGAGGCCACTGGCCACCAGCCAGCGACCACCCAGCACCCCCAGCCCCAGAAGCAGCAGAAACCAAAGCCCCAGAGAGACAGACCCCCATGGAGCCCCTCAAACATCGCAGACCAGTGAGAAACACGGAGTCCAAAGCAGCATGGAACCCCAAAAGCCACAGACCCGAGGCCACTGGCCACCAGCCAGCGACCACCCAGCACCCCCAGCCCCAGAAGCAGCAGAAACCAAAGCCCCAGAGAGACAGACCCCCATGGAGCCCCTCAAACATCGCAGACCAGTGAGAAACACGGAGTCCAAAGCAGCATGGAACCCCAAAAGCCACAGACCCGAGGCCACTGGCCACCAGCCAGCGACCACCCAGCACCCCCAGCCCCAGAAGCAGCAGAAACCAAAGCCCCAGAGAGACAGACCCCCATGGAGCCCCTCAAACATCGCAGACCAGTGAGAAACACGGAGTCCAAAGCAGCATGGAACCCCAAAAGCCACAGACCCGAGGCCACTGGCCACCGGCCAGCGAGCACCCACCACCCCAAGCCCCAAAACTAGCAGAAACCAAAGCCCTACAGAGCCTGGCACAGAGCCCCAAGCATCACAGACCAGCAAGAAATGTGGGACCCTGAGCAGCACGGAGCCCCAGAAACCACAGACCCGAGGCCACTGGCCACCAACCAGCGACCACCCAGCCCCCCCAGCCCCAAAACCAGCAGAAACCAAAGCCCCGCAGAGCCAGAGCCCAGCACAGACCCCCACGGAGCCCCAAATGTCACAGACCAGTGAGAAACATGGAGCCTCAAGGACCACAGAGCCCCCAAAAGCCACAGACCTGAGGCCACTGGCCACCGGCCAGTGACCACCCAGCACCCCCAAACCCAGAAGCAGCAGAAAACAAAGCCCCAGAGAGACAGACCCCCATGGAGCCCCCCAAACATTGCAGACCAGCAAGAAACATGGAGTCCAAAGCACCACGGAACCCCAAAAGCCACAGACCCAAGGCCACTGGCCACCAGCCAGCGACCACTCAGCACCCCCAGCCCCAGAAGCAGCAGAAAACAAAACCCCAGAGAGCCAAACCTCCATGGAGCCCCCCAAACATCGCAGACCAGCGAGAAACATGGAGCCCCAAGCACCACGGAGCCCCAAAAGCCACAGACCCGAGGCCACTGGCCACCAACCAGCAAGCACCCAGCACCCCCAGCCCCCAAACCAGCAGAAACCAAAGCCCCCGACCCACCAGACCTCGACACAGAGCCCCATGGCAGGCAGAGCATGATCCCGAGCCCACCGGGGTCCCGTAC